AGTACTTTACCATACCCTACTGTGCTCGGGTGGAGGTGACGGCAGCGGCGTGACGGTAGGGCTGCAACTTGTTGAGGAGGTATAGTATGATAAGTTATCGGTTGATTCTCTCTCCCTCTCTCCCGGAAGTCTACCGCACTTGTGCTCGCATACCCGTATCATAGCCCTTCAGATTTAGCAGCGCCTTGGCGGACTTTGGTCTCCTCGGCAAGAGGATTCAAGGTTGATCATAGGCTAGCAATGAAGTTTGAGTCTTCTTGACAGCGGTTGGGCCGATCTTCCCATTCCTTTTCTGTTCAGTGCTGGGCTTTCTAGCGCCCTTTTGCCTTGGAACGAAGATTAGAACCCTGAACGGGGGTACCAGTACTCGAGTACTCTGTTTGTCGGTTAACGCCGTACCGCTACCGGTAGTTGGAGAGGGGTACGGTGAACAAGCTTATGGTACCTTTTTTGCGAGGGTTGGGCCCAACTTGTTAGGGATTTTGGATTACGGTAGTCTGAGGCTGAACACGGTGGATTCCAGGCGCAACTACGGCGCATTGATACAGAGCTTCTTGGAACACCGGTGACTGGCTGACAGGAAAGTTGCAGGCGGTGTGATATATATCCCACCGCTACCCGCACGGTCCGCGGAAGATATCGTGAAATCCAACCTTTGTCTTGGTCTCCTGTTTCGCCAGTAATCCTCCATTGAGCTGCCCGAGGGTTGAGCTGGGGAATTTGTCCTGGTGGGCCGTTTCCCGTCGTTGCTGCCCCTGCTCCGGGATCAGAAGCTGTGTGGGCACAGTATCGCGAGGAGATACCGGTATGTGTTTGTATATGGTTTAGGATAGGACCCGTTGAAGACTAGTTTGTGTCCGTATCGAAGGGACCGACGGGTCTGCTCTATTGTGAACAGGATATGTAGCGACAGTGCTGGTGTGTGTGCCATTGGCTCCGCCGACAAGCTGGAGGGGTAATTTGGCTTGAGAGCACGGGCATTGCGGATGAAATGGTCTCCATGCCCTGGAGACTGATTTCTGTATACCAAATCCAAGAATGACATCTGACTGCCCTCATTCTGGGGGGTCTAAACTGTCACATTGGTGAATTCCTATCATATCAGCCCTCGACGAGGAAACGTGAGTAGTGAAAGCCAAACATATATCATAGCTCCGGTATTAAGCTGTGTAGGATGGGTGTCCTTACAGTAACCCTGTTGACACCCCAGGTGACATCCAGAGTGCCGGCCCCATACTACCCCCCTCTGGATTCGGAAATGATGGATGGGGCAAGCTTCTCCTTGGAGAGCTCTTTACCAGCCCCATAGTCCTTCCAGTCCACTCGCGGAGCAGATGGTACTCGTACACAACAAGCAACCCATTTTCGCCCGGGCTGAGGAAATGGGGTTTTCAGGTTCTATATTCCGGAGGTGTAGCACGGTGAGTGACAGATTAACTCCCCCGGAGTTCCTCAGGGGAGGGATAACTGAAAACCTGTAGCCCTACTATAATAACTTCTGGCCGCCGATTCTGTATCCTAGCAGCAATACCACAGAGCAATTTCAGAGGCTTTGCAAAGACAAAGCGGCACCATGGAATAAACTAAGCATGCTCTTCACTTGGTACCAGAGACTCGAGTGTTGTGCTCGCAGGTATAACTTTAATAGCTTGTTATACAACCGTTACGTGAATAACAACCCTCTCATGATATTGCTTCATGATCGAGAGCGGTTCTCCGTTATCCGACAACAGGACCGCCGGCTGATGCAGTGGCTCAAGGCCCTTGTGCAAGAAATCCTCTCTGCGCTCCATCACTATAGTGAGGTTTCTCGAATGAGAGTTGAGATTGGACCGGAAACGATCAACGGTCGACGCCTGGGCAAGAAATCCCACCCTTCCTCTGCTCCAAATCAAGCGTTATCATATCGTACCCGAGTAAGGCTAGCGGGAGACTGATATTCCATCATGCCTTATGCAAGAGACAAACTTACCGGCACCCGGATTAACCACCGGCACGAAAATTGCTAGTCTTCGTGTAGAATATGGAGCAAGCACCATTAAGTGACGCCTGCAAAGCCAATACAGTATAATACCCGTCATGCTACGCCACGCTCTACTAAAAGGACAAAATTCCCTCCCTCCAACAGCACCTCACACGGCAGGACACGGATTCCTCTGTTCAGAAAGTCAATCCGCTGAACAGTAGCGTATCATTATGTCGCGCGGCTGCGAACTGTTGTCCGGTTCATTGGCATGACGATAACCTCCTGATATCCTGGAGGTTTAGGACGAGATCATAAACTGTGATTTATGAATCAGCATCCTCTTTTCTCTCCGCTGGCCCCAGGCCCTGGGCCCCACATCGAGGGCAATGGATATAGTCTAACAGGACATCATTATCCGGGAGGCAGGAAGAAGGGGGAAAAAAGAAAGAAAAAAACCTCGACAAGCCCAGTAACACGAAACAACCTTCCAAGCCTGTCTACCGGTAGGGGGATGCATTTATCTTTCCACGGCTCCTTACACACCCGCTTCCGGGGGCGGCATTCAAAAAAAAAAAAGTCTGATATCATATCATAAATTATTATCATACAGTACAGGGAGGATCTTGATTTAGGTATTGGGCCCTAATGGAGTTGCGAAACCTCTCGATTGACCACTGTAGTAACACTTATCACTAATAGTACGAATTACTCGTACATACGATAAATCCTGGCGCTGAACAGTAGCCTCCTGAAGGGTTACACCATAAAGGCTCCAAGTACGCTTCATACACTTGCACCTGCAATTGTTTCTGGAATAAAAGCGACGTGCTCCAGAGAGACCAGGGCGGCATTTGTTACTGTGCGAGTGGTAACTTGGATCAACTTGCCCCGGACTCTTACCGGTACTCGAGTACAAGTAACAGGAAGCCCTTTAAGTGGGGTGTGCCATCCCTCGAGCGCTATGGCGTCACATTGCATACTAAAACACAAGCCCGACTGACGATCTCGAGGCCACCCAGACAGAAAATGGCCGTCTCTTATAAATTATGGCTCTTGAGTTCCGGCACAAAACATACGAAACGATCTCTTGCCAGAAAGGCCCTGGCGATCACCCAAAGAAGGGAGGCCTGCGGAGACTGCTCTAAAAACATACGAGAGAGAGAGTGGATACCGCACTCGTATCATACGTCGGCAATTAGTATGATCCGAAAATGCCCTCGCAACCCCCCGAGTTTGGCTTAATTACCGGAGCCTCAAGTGTGAGCAAGCAAATCCAATCGGTCTGGGCCGGCGGGCCAACTCCTCCGCCCGAGACTCCCTTCACGGCACTCTGCAGCATGGGCTTAACGTTTGGGGTGCCGTCCAGACCAGGGTTTTTCCAGTAGAGCAATAATCCGCAGCGCCCCAGTCCAGATTCCTTTTCGACAGAGATGCCTGGCTGCCGATCGATTTGCAGAGACAGCCCCATTCTGCTCGCAAAAAGTGGGGTATCCGGAACTCGGAGGGCAGTGGAGATCAAAAAGTGTTGCGGTCAGGAAGATGTGCCACATGCAATATCCCGTCTACCACAGTACAGTACTTAAATTTTGGTTAGTTACGAAAAACCCCTCTTTACTATAAGAACCGCTTAAACCCCCCTCCGTGGACTGTCAGCACGGATATCAGTCCAATATTTTCTCACTTCCCGAATACCCACATCAAGACGAACCTTTTTAGACGCCGTTTCTGCCCTCATATCAAAGCCACTCGCGCCGCTTTGTCTACCATCATACCGCTGCAAGCAAATCTAAAATGTGCCACTACAAGAACACCACATTTTCTTGCGGCTGCCAGACTGAAGAGAACACTCTGATATGCGGATATGTCAATGACGACCTGGCCCAGTGTATGGCTGGCACTCAAGCGGACGAGGTCTCGGTCCCCAGAGTGTGTGGGAGGCAATGCTGCAAGAATTCACCCACCCGCGGATCGTGAGTACTTCTCGTGGTGATGTTAGGTACTGCCCTGTCGGCGGGCGAGACTAACAAAGATTGGCTGCTAGAAACCTCAAAGCGCAAGATAACCACAAGAGCAAGCATGGTGACGATGGGTGGTCCGAGGGGGGTGTGGGGGCTTCGGAACTCTAGATGATTCTGGATCGAGATCGGCCGCCAGGTGGATTGTATTCCAGGTCCTCCATTCAAGGTAGATGGCCAGGGCCGCCCAGCGAAGGGCCGCTTCGTTTGATTTTCACTAATCCGCGGGCCCCGCCACGCTTTGTGGCAATATCTCCGACTTCTTTTCCCTCCTTTTTGAACAATCCTAAGCCTTTTTCTCATTATTCTTTCCAGATCGCGTCTATTGTTCACGCTCGATATCTTTACTTGCACTTTCTTCCGGGGCCATTTCCACTTTTCAGCGCTTCTTGGGGGGATAACTTTGAGTAGTTAATCAGCAGTATACAGTATCTCAATCGAAACACCAAAAACTAAAAACCATTTTACCATGGATCCCTTCTTGGTCATCACCAATATTAATCTGTAAAAGCAGGAGCTCTGTGTGAGTTAAAGCAACTAGCCTCTCATGAAATCTGACACAGGGGGGATGCCGGGCCCTGGAAGAACAGGCATGGATACGGTATTGCAAAGCCAACTCGCTAAGTCTTATCCTACCCCACATTAGGCTCACCGCGATCATCCAGCGAAAAACGAGCGATATCGATCTATCGTTGGACCAGTCAACTTGTACGGTGACTGCCACAGTTCACCATCCCATCCTCCTTGCCCCCGCACGCCACCTGCAAATGAACCGGTATACGAGTACTAAATCGGTTTAACTTAGTGATCGCGATGCAGCCTCCATCGCGGCAATTGTGATATTTTGGGGACTGAAATGGAAGAGGAGGATCATTTACTCGGTCTGTGCTTGGATATCTCAATTGCTTTTTTTTTTCCAAATTGTACTCGAGTACTTGTATCGGCATTTGCGCGGAGAATAAGTTGTTCAATTGACTATCACAAGCGACAAACTAGGTGCGGAAAAAAAAATGGAGAAAAAAGCAACTAGGTTTCTAAATGGACCGGCTGGTCTACAATAGTTACCGGTAGGCGAAAACTTGTATCTAGTTTGCCTATGGACTTCCGGTATCCAGCCCCCCGGAGTGAACCAATAAATGCCGATCCATAATAATATTCAATGTTTGAGGGGGGAGTTTTCTTTTTTTCCCCCTCTCCCCCGTTTATGTACCCAGCTCTGCCCCCTCACCAGTACCTTAACTTCCGGTACTTATGCAAAGTCTTCAGCTAGAAATGGAGCGGGCGGAGCAAGAGTTGTGGACCTGCTTCTTCCCATCGTGGACCTAAAACTCGTACTCTCTGGCACAAGTGCAGGTGCTGGTGTGGAAACGGGTGAGGATACCTGCGGTACCACCATAGTCGGCAGAGAAGGCGGACCCGGCCTATTCTTTCTTGCAATCTCCACCGGAGACGGGGTGTACACAGGCAGTGGCAATGGAGCCACCGCTCCAGCACTAGCAGACCTCTTCCCCACAACAAACCCATCCCAACAAAACCTCTTCATCCTCCCCTTCCCTTTCCCCTTTTCCACATAATCATCCCCCGGCAGCGCTACCCCCGTCGCAACTTCCACCCAGAACTCTCCCTCGGCCTTCGCCTCCTCCGCCTTACACACTGGACACCCAAACCTCGCCTCCCCATCTTCGGTCCTGCTATTCCACGCCCTTTCCACACCCACCGTGTCCGGCTCCCTACACCCGCCTAGGCCGCAGCCAGCTTTCGCCAGCTGGACTTCCTGCGGCGGGGACGGGTACGGGACTATGGTCTCTATGCAGTGCAAGTAGGCCACTTTCTCTTCTGGGAGGGGGAAGCCTGGGACCCTTGGGCATGTGCCGACGGGGTTTAGCGCTTCAACTAGGTGCTCGTAAGAGGGCGTCGTGCGAAGCTTGCGCGGGGAGGAGGAAGGTGAGGGGGGTGGAGAGTGTGGTGGTAGGAGGCGCATGTGCATGGAGCAGAGACGGTAGTAGCACTTTATCTTGTGGAGTTTGGGACAGGCGGTTAGAGTGTAGATGTTGCAGAAACACATTTTGCATGAGGTGGTAGTAGGGAGTCCCTAGCAAGGGAGCAGGGAAAAATGACGGTTTTGAAATGGGGAATTGGGTGGACGAGGTTGAGTATTCGGGTTGATTTATACGGGTGGGTCGGAGCGTACGAAGCCAAAACTATGCTCATGTGGAGAGAGCACTGCTCGTGGGCCTCGTGGGGTGCGTGTTTGCTGGCCGGGTTGAGTGAGGGGCTTTTGACTTTTGAGTGGGTAGTCTGAGGAGAATCCCGGAGCCGTTCGTAAAGTTCGTGGGATTGGAAAATTAGATTTTATCCCAGTTCACAGCATTCTAAGATACAGAGTGGTTAGTTTTACCGAATACTACGATTATTTTCAGTCCTCCGCCCCGTGATCTCGGCCGAGGCAGCGTCCTTTGTATTAACAGACGAAATTATATGCGGAAACTTCCTGAGCATCATTCGCATGTTGCGACACAAGAAAGGGAGACTCTCGATCGGCAAATTGGTGCCCGAGTGATTTTCCGTGAACTAGTTTAACACTCATTAGCCCCTTTGTGCCAAAGGCCAATATCCCACCAGCATTAATATCACACCGTTCCCAGCGCAGAGTCAGAAACCAGAGCTTCCGCGGCAGCATACGAGTAGCTTCTCCTCCACCAACGCCACCTAACCTACATAGGTATATCATACCACACTCTACCACACGAGTAAAGTCCCAGACACATCAAGACTACCATGTTAAGATCCCTAGCCATCTTTTGATTTGCGAGTTCGTATCCGTGCTCTCCTTCCACGAATATACGGTCACCAGGCGAAATTCCTTGTGAAACGGAATCTCGCTCTGTTGGATATTACAGGCTGTATGGGACGCATTGCGCACCGGCGGTCTATGGGGGGGGGGGGAACCTGTGACACCGAGCATATACAAATTATGATGGTATGTGAGAATTGGGCTTCGGGGTCAATATATTTGGGGCTCGAGATTTAGTTGTTGGGGCAGGGAGGTTGGGGACTCTTTCAGCGGCAGCCGGGGGGGGGGTTTTCCGTACGATACTTGTATTCCGGTATCACATTGTGATAGACAAGTTATGTTCCATTTCCCAGGATATCATATCAATACCACGAGGTTAAGCATTGGGAATACAACCGGTGCGTATCGCGCCAAAAGCCATTCTAGGTCCCCCATTGACGGTTGTATATCCCTCTATATTGTAGCGTGCAGTATCATACTCAAGCAACATCCCCCCAAGGAGGGGGGGCCGCAAGCCAAACCCTCAACATCCGGCGCCGAATGCCACAGCGGCGGATCCAGCACCTATCAATGGCTATCATACAGAATCCGCAAGCACGCGCCCGATGACAACGGCGAGGTAAACTTTAACTACATCACAGGGCACCTACAGCGCATCCAACCCTCCCTTCGAAACCCGAATTAGATGGCCAATAGTTGCAATCCACCTTAAAGAGCTCTAGCTATCCGCCTCCAAAAGCTCCAACGGCGGTCCGCTCCCACACCCTTACTCTTCGCTGCTTAGACCCTGCCAAGACGCGCAGAGGCTCCGTGCTGGTCTGGCCCCACCATTTCTGCCCCACCAAACGCGACGCAGCCCTCACTCACCCTCACTCACCCTCTCTCCCTTCCTTCCCTTCCTCCCCTTCTGGTCAGGGACAACAACAACCCTCAACCACCCCAGCCAAACCGCAGCCCGGGAGGAAGCAAAAGAAAAAAAAAAGGGAAGGAAAGGAAACAGAACAAAACATCTCAAGGGATTAATTATCCCTCGAATAAAACCCTCAACAATGTCCGCAAATGGCGTTGGCTCGGACGCTGAATTCGACCCATTTAATGACGCGGAGGAGCTTAGGGCACTCACTTCTGCTCTTTCTTCATTCCAGTAGCCCCCCTCCCCGTTCCTTCCTCCCCTCCTCTTCGTGACCATTCCCAATTGACTGTCCGGAAACCAGCCTCTACCGCCGTGCCGCTCACCAAAACCTAACCCACCATCGCCGAACTTCCTTCTTCGCCCTCTCCCTCGCACACCAAGCACTCCTCAACAAATCACCCATCAATTACCTCCCCACCCTGGATAAGGTCGACCACGCAATCGAAGACAATGCAGTCCTCAGCGAGGCCATATTCCGCTCTGCGGTGGATGCATTCGAGATCGATCTCGGGGCTACCGGCGGTGGGTTCAAGGCCTGGGGGAATAGTGCGAGTGACGGAGATTTGGATAAGGTGCGGAGCACGATTAAGCAGTTTTATCGTGATTGGAGTGATGAAGGGAGGGTGGAGAGGGAGGCTTGCTACGGGGGGGTTATGAAGGAGCTGGAGGAGAGGTTTGGGGAGGTGGAGGATAAGTATGGCTCTTTAAATATTTATATTAGGGCGATAGGTAGCTAATGGTCCGATCGCAGGTCGACCGTCAGAGTCCTCATCCCAGGGGCTGGCTTGGGCAGACTTGCCTTCGACATCGCTGTCGCAGGTTCATCCCCCACCCAATCCTCTCTCCCGTACCACCTCACCTCGTCCCAACTAACACCCAAATCCAGGCTACACTTCCCAAGGCAATGAATTCTCCTACCACCAGCTAATGGCCAGCAACTACATCCTAAACCACACCACCGCCGCAAACCAACACACCCTCCACCCCTTCATCTCAACCTTCAGCAACCACCCCACCCGCCCCTCTCACCTCCGCGGCATCCAAATCCCAGACGTCCACCCCGGGAGCCTCCTCGAGCTCATGGGCTCCGACAGATTCAGCATGACAGCAGGTGACTTCCGCCAGGCCTACAAAGACCTCCACCCATCCCAAAAATTCGACGTCTGCGCCACCGTATTCTTCATCGACACCGCGCCGAATCTGATCTCCTATATTGAGACCATCAAGCACTTACTCGTCGACGACGGGGTCTGGGTGAACTTCGGCCCGCTGCTCTGGCACTTTGAAGAGCACGCCCAGGAGGAGCAGACGAGCAGGAATGGCGGGGAGGGTGAGGACGTCGGAGCTGCAGGAAAGTTCGAGCTGTGTCTCGACGAAGTCCTTGCGCTAGTCGAGATGTGCGGGTTTAAGCTGGAGAAGGTGGTCACGGGGGCCAAGACCGGGTACGTGGGTGACGAGAAGAGCATGCTAAGGCATGAGTATGAGGGCGTGTTTTGGGTTGCCGTTAAGGCCTAAGAGTAGCTAGGGCACCGGTACATACTCGAGTATATATATATGATACACACCGATTACAGGACACCTGCCGCACATGTATCATACAGAGACGGTAGGGTAAGATGTTTGCTCCTGCGGGCCATTCTTCTGTCTTTCTCTCATTCCTCCTTTTGTTGCTCTTCCTATACCAACTTGTGTTCGATTGTTTTACGTGTTTACTAACCTGTTCATGTACTTCAACTTTATCCCCCCCCTGCACTCCATTCATGTCTCGCCCCTGTGTATCGGGGGGGGGGTTTGCCTTTCTGTCTTTTCTATCTTGTTTCAAAGGTTTATTTGGTTTCTTTATCATAGAGGCGTTGCCGGCGGTTTATAGAATCTGGATCATGATTGACGGCATAAACTTATACCCTATAGCACCGTACCCATGTTCTCGCATATGCTTTTGATGGCTCTTACATGGCTCAGAAATTCATTGTTCCATTAAAAAAAAAAAATCGAATCAATTCATCTCTGATACCGATAGTGTATTCACGATGCCACACGCTACAAGATGGCAACAAAAGGCCCCCGTGAAAGCCGTCAAACGGGCACTCATCTCAATAACTCCCACTCCTATGCATTGAATAAAAATATCTTCCAGTTACAAGTAAACGTGCTGAGAACACCATGACAAAGTGGAAAGAAAAAAAAAAACACCCCCCGAAACCTCCATAGTATTATAATGTATCACACTCATGCCAATTCATCCGGTCCGAAAATATTGCAGAGCCATGAAGTCCAAACCAGTATAAAAAATAAAAAGGAAAAAACCATACCCAAGGCCGACTGGCTACACTACGCAAGACAAAAAAGACATCGCCTAACACCAGTAGTCGCCGCCCAACCATCTATTCAGCATCTGCAAGCTTGGGTCGGGCTGGTTGTATGGAACCATGTGACCAGCCTGGTAGATCTGAATGAAGGTGAAATTTCCAGAAGTCTTGAACTTTCCAGCCCCCTTGCCATTGACCTTAAAGCTCTCAACCTTGGCCTTGTTGAAATCCTTCTTTCCAGGCCACTCAAGAGCCTCGGTCCAGGCGCGGTTTCCAAGCCAGTTGCAAATGTAGTCAGCATCACCAGCATAAATCAAGACAGGGATATCCTTAAGGAGTTCGACGACAAAGTCGTGGAATGGCAACATCCAGTCTCCATTGAGGAGGAAGTTGCGATTGATGTCAAAGTTGCAAGACTCATAAGAAGAAACCTCGGCTCCGAGAGACGACATGACATCCTCTCTGTTGAGATACCTGGTTCGACTTGTTAGCAAAAAAAAAAAAAAGAGAAGTGCCGGGCAAACTTACCTAGAAATCCAGCCCATTTCAGGGTAGCAAAGGTTGTCAGAATCTTCACACTTTCCGCGAATGTCATAGACGTTCAATCCAGTGCGTTGATAAGGCCCAATCATGGCATTATTGCAGTAGATGGAGGCAGGGACACAAGACCACACAGACTTGGAGGTATAGCAGTTTTGGATCATACTGGCACAGCGAGGATAGGCATCGTCCATGGCCTTGCACTCAGAATCGCTCAAGGCAGATGGGTATCCACCTTCACCACAGGCCATGGGGCGATAGTACTCGTATTGGGTGAGACCATCGGTAAGACCGTTGCCAATCAGAACAGATTGAAGGTTGATGTTGCGCTCCTTGTGAGAGAGAATCTCGGCGGCGAACTGAGGAATATAATGTCTTGCAAAGCGTCAGCGAGAAACCCAACCACCAATAAGGAAATTCGACAACTCACCCAGCATAAGATTCGCCAGCAATGTGGAAGTCCTGTTTAGCGTATTCCGGAAATCGATCAAAGAACATGGTCAAGAACGCGTAAACGTCCTTTCCGGCAGCGTGGGTGCTTGAAACGGAGCTTGAAGAGTACGAGTAGCCGACATTGACGGGCTGGTCAAGGAAAATGACCGAAGCGTTGGAGTTCCATGAGTACGGGTTATCGACCGTGTGGATCTTAGCATTAATGGAAGCAGGGCCAAGCTCCATAAAGAGACCAGTCAAGGAAGAGCACCCGGGACCACCGTTGAGCCAAAGGACAACAGGATCGTTCTTGGGGTCATTTCGCGATTCAAAGAACCCTGACGAGAAACATTAGTATCATGACGAACAAACAATGATACCAAACCAAGTTCAGAGGGAAACTGACAGAAGAAGAAATGCTTATTGTCATCGTCCACATCCAAGTAACCAGAGTATTGCTTGGTTTTAGCATCAACCCCCAAATCACTGGGCTTCTTGATCCTTAGCTTGCTGCCCTTGATTTTATCGTGGCCATCGACCTTGCTCCCCAAAACAGAGACGGTCTCGGAACCATCGACGATGTAGTCCCAGTGACTATCCGGTCGCTTCCCGATCCCAGGCTTGGGCTTGGACCTGCTCTGGATGGCTTGAATGGCAGACACGGTATCTTCGGGGTATAGCTTAGCAATCTCTGCCCAGGCGGAGATAGACTCGGAGGAGATACCGCCGACCTTGAACTGGTCGAGCGCAGACGAGAGAAAGGCAGGAAGTTTTGAGGTGATAGGGTGTTGCTCAGGATTAGGCACGTAAGCCGAAGCCCCCAGGGCCAAAGAGATGGCAGAAGCCAGTAAAAGCCTCATGATTTCGGAATCAACGAAGGGTTGTCTACTGAGTGATTTTCACTGTGCACGAAGGTGAATTGTGTATGGAGGGAGAGGAGGGGGAGGAGGGATGGGGGAAGAAGGAAGAAGGAAGAAGGCGAGGTGAAGAGAAGAGAAGCGATGACAAAGGGGTTTTGGTTTTCTCGGGGTGGGAGGGATGACTGAGGTTGCTGGGGGGGCGTGGCCTTTGGTTCGACCTTTGCCAGCCGGATCAAACTGCACGGGAGGGAATATCCGGTGGCTGGGCATGGCCTTGTTAGCCAGTGCCAGTGCCCAAACCGGGGAGACAACCTCTCCATGCAATACGAGTACTGTACCGTACCGGTGCAAGTACCGTCAAGCTCCGTTCCCCCTATTTTCCTCCTAAGTGCAAATTGCACTTTTTTCAACACCATACAACTATCTCCAAACTTCGTGTAACGTGACCTGTCAAGTTCCACGAGGACCGTATACCCACACCTATCCCACTACGCCATGGCTTCGCATAGTGAGGAGATGGATACCGAGTCCCTCCCTGAGACACCCACACCGGTTGGGAAGGGGGGGTCAGACACTAGTTTCATACAGGTGCAAAAGATGGCATCGGCCCTTCTGGCTGAGCACGGACCTGGACAGCATACCCCGATCGTGGACCTGGTCGACAACCTTGAGGTTTCGGACCTGGGAAATGAAGACATGACTATGATGGCGATGATCTCGGCCCTGGCCACCCAGGTGAAGAAGCTGACTGTGACGGTTCAAAACCTGGCACGCACGGTCCAAGATCAGCAGGCGGAGAAAAGTGGGCCCATGCCTCAGAGGCCCGCCCAGAAAGCGACGAGCACCGGGGACAAGACGTATGCCAAGGCGGCAGCGACGGCACAGACCCCCGAGAAAGGCAAGAAGAGGAAGGCAAGCGAGGGCCCGACCCCTCCCAAGCCACCACAGCCCAAGAACCCGAAAGGGGAAGAAGAAGACGGCAAGGCGGACTCAGACGGGTGGAAGGTGCAAGAGTCCAAGAAAGCTAGAAAGAAGACGGCGGCGGCAAGGAAACTGTTTGCGACAAGGGTGGAATCCAAACCCTTGGGAGACCCTAGCCGAGAGGAGGCCAGGATCTCGATGGCAATCGCAGATGTCCTCACCCGTTGCGAGTGCAAAGCCCCCACCAATCTACAGGTTGCTTCCAACAAGTGGAATGGTACGATCACCATCACGACTCCCCCGAACAGCGATTCCGGACATTATGCCCGATACTTGGACAAGATGACGGAGGCTCTAAATGCGACGATAGGGGAAGGGGAGCCAAAGTATTTAGACTTCAGGAGGGCGCCGACGGACGTGGCGGTGTTGATACACAGCATGCCGTTTGATGCCATCCCCGACAATAACGCAGACCTCGACACGGAGATGAAGAAAACGTTCAAGGTCGCACACAACATTAGCGTAACGAATGCACGTTTCCTCCGCAAGGATATGGGAGACTGTAAGACAAAGAAGGCGACTTCGATTGTGGTCCGGATGCCCGAAGCGGATGCTGAGAAGGTTACTCCCCAGGTGCTCCTACTGGGAAAGTTTAAGGATGCCAAGATCATGTGGCATGCCACCCCTACGACTCAGTGCACTCGGTGCTGGAAATTCGGACACCCCAAGGTGGGGTGCCTCGAGCCAGTGGACTTGTGTCCTATATGCACCAAACCGCACGCGGAAGCCGACCACAAATGTCACCAGCCTAAGTGTGCTGGATACAAGCGAAGAATACCTGATTGCTGCCTGATGACCCCAGCCAAGTGTCCGGCATGCGGGGGCAAGCACTCCGCAAGGAGTGGAGAGTGTCCCGAGCGACAGAGGGTTAAGGAGGAGGCAAAACAGAGATATGACCAGCGGATGGCGTCCCTAGCCGAAGCTGGTAGCCCTGGTACCAAAAATTAGGCCTGTTGGCCGTCATGGCCGGTGACCCAGGTGACGAGATGACGCAAGGAGTGAAGTTGAACATTGTACAGCATAATTGCCGAGGGAGCAATGATGTTTTTATTTCTTTATTTCACATAGTTAGGAACTTTAGGATTTCTTTTGTGTGTGTGCAAGACCCACCTTTATACGACGGGGAGCCCCTGCGGGCCCCCGGTTTTGAGTGTTTGTTTCAGCGGACCGATAAGGTCAGAGTTTGTACTTACGTTTCTTTAAGGTTGCTGCTGCAGGTTTCGTTTGTGGTGGTACCGGGAAGTTTTGATTATTTGTATTTGAGGGTTTTCGCTCAGAGGGGCAACTTGGTTGGGGCCAGTCGCTCATTTGGGCTGATTAACGCATATAACAGACAGCTGGGGGGCTCAGACACGGTCCCGGCGGAGTAGCTGTTTAGGGAGACGAATGAGCCTACGTTCGTAGTGGGAGATTTGAACGTACACACCACGATGACGGACCCACTTAGGGAGCTGGCGCATAGGGAGAGGAGGCGTGGCGAACTATACATGCGGGTGGCGGCATTGGCGGGATACTCTATACTGAATACGCCGGGGGTTCATACAAGGTTCCCGGATAATCCTACAATACACCGGCCTTCCGTCCTGGACTACTCCTTGGCAAATGCGCAGTTGCTGAGGAGGGTATCGAGGTGGAGGGATCTGACGCAAAGGACTGGCTCCGATCACATCGCGATAGTCACATATATCGACTCGGAGGAGATAGAGTTGGCCCGACCGGCCCCCGATTGGGACCAGATTCGGTGGCGCGTCGATAAAGGGAAACCCAACCCCCTTATCGAGGAGGCGTTAACAGGCTATTTCGGTAGGACACAGGGGTATACGCGTATTACGGAGGGCACCCACGCGGTGGAGAGGTTTCAGGACAACCTGAACAAGCTGATCCACTTGGTGAAAGGCATGGCTCTGATGAAAAGACCGACGAGGTGGTCAAAGGCGTGGTGGAAGCCAGAGATCACGGAGCTCAGAAGGGTGTACACCGCGGCGGCCAGAAGGGTGGACAAAGACGGGGCCGGGGTGGAAGAATGGAAGTTGGCCAAGAAGGCGTACAGGAAGGCGATTCAGGTGGCGAAGCGCGAATATTGGGACAAATTCCTGGCTACAGCAAAGAAGAATGATGTGTGGACAGCGCATCAATTTACCAAACAGAGAGTGCCGAACAGGGTCCCGGGGGGAGATGCTGGGAGTCCGGAGGCGGCAGAACAAGCGATTATGAGACACTTCTTCCCCCCCAATCCAGACCCGGTGGGCAGGTGCGAGGCGCGGAGGCATTTGCTAGAGAGGGATGATAGGGTCTCTCCACTGGAAATTGGGGAGGCATTGAGGAAGGTTAGCAACAAATCTGCACCAGGGCCTGATCAGGTCCCATATGGAGTGTAGAAAGGCATCCATGGGATAAACGAGAAGGTCATCCCGGCATTGGTGGAAGATATGCTGGAGTGGGGCATACACCCGCCGATGCTCAAGGAGTCGATCGGGGTGATCTTACCGAAGCCAAACAAGAGCAACTATACGGAGTGCGCAAGTTTTAGGGTCATTGCGCTTATGCAAACCTTCTCTAAGATAGCCGAGAGGGTAGTAAATGCGAGGCTAATGAAGATAGCTTACGAGAGCAGGATGTACTGCATCAATCAGACCGGCAGTTTGCCACAGAGGTCCACGGCCGATGCAGTGATGTCGCTACAACACTGGATTAGAGAAGCGCAGTTTGCGGGAAAGAAGGTCTCGACGGTCTTCATGGACGTGAAAGGCGGCTTCGACAATGTCGACCATAGAAAGCTAATGCAGCGTCTGGAATGGAACGAGAAGATCCCCGAGTACCTCACGGATTGGATTCGCGACTTCATCTCGACGCGAGAAATCACATTGGCATATCCGGGCAGTCCTAGGCGGAGTAACAGGGTTGACCTCGGCATACCACAAGGCTCACCATTATCGCCGCTACTGTTTGTAGTTTATGTGCGTCTACTGCACATAGATTTCGACACGGCGGACACCTTCACGTCATCCTACGTGGACGATTTCCAGATCACTGTGGCGTCCACCTCTTGGTATCGAAACGCGAGGATGCTGGAAGAAAGGGGGCAGCGGGTCATGGCGGTGGCCCAGGGCCTAGGCCTCTCTTTTAGTGTTGCAAAGACTGAAATGATGCACTGGCGCACGCGGAGACAGCAGGGACCGCGGGCACAGGATGAGATCACGCTACAGGCGCACGGGGTTCAACCGGCTGGGACAGTGGTGAAGTGGCTGGGATACTGGCTGGCAGATAATGGGGAGACGTCTACACACTTTACAAAGAGGTTGTCGCTGGCCCAAGCGGCTTTCTGGAGGATTCGAAGACTATCGATGCCGGGCAAAGGGCTCTCGCCATATGGGGCAAGGAGGCTGGCGAAGGGGATATTGTTGCCGACAATGTTGTATGGAGGGAGGTGCTTGAGCCGTCCGCAACGATGTTGAAGAAGATGCAGACCTTTTGGAATAGGGTGTTGCGATGGGTCACTAATGCATTTTACGCTACCGATATAACGGTGCTCTCGTCTGAGGCCTGTTTGGCGCCAATGAGGGTATACGTGGATCAGGTCAGGATGATGTCGGTTGTCAGAGTGGCAACGGCGATACCAGAGAACAACTTAGCCACGGCCATGTTACCAGCGGCTTTCCCGGTACAGAGGGAGTATAGATACCCAGGGAACCGCAAGATGGCCTTCGATAACAACAAGGGCGGGATGCGACCAAAGACTTGGCGGTCGACATCGAACACAATGGCCCAAGTACGATTACCCTTGGATGAGGTTGCCGCAATAGCCACTACGGTGTTCGGGGAGGGCCCCATTCCAATGAAGCCTACGCGCCTAATGATGGTCAAACCGGAGGATGCCGAAGGGCATTTCAAGGTTCGGGAACAGGTTAGGAAGGAGATGCACAAGAGGTGGGTAGATTGGGATTACCCGCCATACTACGGCTATAGGCCACCATACCGGGAATGTTGGTCATTTATGACATTCCCGAAATTTCAGGCTGGGCGGGTGCACCAGATGCGTGCAAATAAGAGCTATCTCAATGCGCAGACGGACTGGTCCATGCGGGACCGAGACCCGATGTGTAGGAGGTGTGAGGTGGGAGAAGAGACATTTCAACATGTGGTCGCTTGCCCGGCGTTAGCTGGGGCTCGCCTGCATGAGGACCCGAGGACCTTTGATATTTTGCCTGATTCTGAATTGTGGAAGGGCGGGAAGAAAGGGTTGCGCTTGATGGGGAATTTTATTTCTTATGTGATAAAGAACAGGATTAACTTTCCGGCGGGTGGGGAGGATTTTCCTTATACGAGGTTGGCCGGTTTGGCTTCATGACTTATGAAATGTTTTCATTGATGCGTGGAATGAGGTGATTACTATTGGACATTGGTTTTTGTAGGGGGTGAAGTTTCATTTGTACAAGGGGTTTTTAGGCCATGCCTTAGGGTGCTTGCCATGGATTTTCCTGTAGTTAGCTACGAATAAACCGCGGATTTAACAAAAAAAAAAAAAAAACCGGTAGCAAGTACCGTATTATACAAGTATGGTATCAGATCAACAGAAGCCTCAGCCACAGACAGCCATAGACAGTTGAACGCAGGTCCCAGCCAAGCTGCATGCACTGGGCCGTGCCGTCGTGCAGTGTAGAGTACCGTCCGAGTACGGTAACTTACCGGTATTATTCCCCGAGCCCGACTGCTGCTGTGCTTATCAAATATCCCAAATCTTGAAGAGACCATCGAAGCACTCTGGTACGCGAGTACCCGAGCACAAGGAGAGGAGGAATGTGATATAAAAAATCGAGCCAAAAAACATGGAGCGAAAATCACATGATGGTTTTGCGCGTATCATATCATAAATATTACATCCAAAAAGCCTTGTGATCCAGCTGCAATTTACCCCACGAAAGATGCCCTCGCGATACGAGGGAAAGTGCAGCTCAACTCAACTCAGCTCAGCTCGGCCATCGCTTCCCTACGAGCACCGAATCTCCATTACAGTACCGGCCATAGCGGTAGTCCAGCCTTGGATTCCCAGTTCCGATCCAAGGTTGGCCACGATACCATGATACGTGTCCCGACAGCACGAGGTCACGGGGCGACCGGTAACTTACTTTTATCTCGGACACACAGGTATTGCCGGTGGTAAGCGGGGGGACAATCCAATTGTCTGTCCGGGTGAAGCTCTTTGTCCACTGTAACTTACCTGTATGATATCGTACTTGCATGATGAATCGGAGGGGGCCGGGCCCCACCTGGGGCTCTCGGATGCTGTTACCGTACTAGTACTCGAGAAAGGGACGGATGTGAGGTTGGGACACAGTATGGTGCCGGCACCTTAGAATCGACCCTCAGCGCCATCCGGGTCCGGGCACTAGTCCTAATGTAGTATCTGACCATACTGCTTTAGGCAATGTGTTGGTGTATTACTCAGCAAAAACCTACTTTTCATACACAAGTGCCAACCTCCTCCCTCCACCCAAAATTTGCCTCAACTTTAACCGCTATTATAGGAAGAACCACACCCCTTGGATGAAATCTGCTCTGTAAATGTGTTCTTCATATGTTTTGGGAGGATTATACAGAAGGAATAAGTAAAATAATGATATGTGACGTTGTTGTTGCCTGCCAAAAAGTTGGGAAAGTTCGGTTGTTGTGAGGGTTGATTCTAAGGTGTCGGCACCATACGGGTACTATCGTAGCGTGCTGATGCAGAGGAGCGCCATCGAAATGGCCATCTCTCCACAACACCGAAACGAGCAAACAATACCGTGTAAAACGGCGGAGAAAATGATATAATAATATTATGAGAAGCGTGGCCCTTGTTCCTACTGCAAAATTCAATCCTACATTTTCAACTCGATTATCGAGGAGTCAAAAAGTGTTTTTCTGGCGCAGCGCCCGACCAGGAACACCAGGATGCCATGGGCCGCTACGAGTACTTGTACTCGTAATCTTTATCCCGCTTGGCATACCAGAGCACACAAAAATCCAGACCAACAAACCGCATACCGCAAGAACTCGCCAAACTCGCTATGCAGGTATTGGCACCAGGGATCGGATAGGAGCTTTTTTACCCTGAGAAATGACGGAAAATGACAATAACACCTGAGAATAGCTGTATACCAGTGCCGGTACCTACATAAAATACTGTAATAATGATGCTGGTCTCATCAGCTAAGAGAAAATAGGTTGGTCACTGGAGTGATGTTGGCTGTATTGCCATGCATTAGTGCCTAAACTCTCCTACCTGCATGGCGAGTTTAGCGAGTTTTTGCGGTACTATCGTACGGTAGATGATCATAAGTATGATAGTATACGGTGCCCATCAACCCTGAACTCAGAACAAAGGACAATACCGGTGTTACCTACCGTATGCCATTATCGACATTGGGAGATGCAGTGCAGCCTGCACTAATCCCACAACAACTGCTATTGTGCCGGTACACAGATTGCCATCAAAGGACGGGTTCGGCACAATGCTAGTGATTAAATTTTTTATTCCGCATAAAGCTAGGCTAACGCTTATGCGATGACTTTAACCAAGGCACAGCTCCCATAGCAATCACCGCTCCGGTATGTCCCCGAATAAAAGAAGATAAAACTCCAACTCCATGGCCAACATACCGGTATGATGTAAAGCTCGATTTCCGTCACCTTCTCTATCCGTTTTTCCCCAGGCAGCCTAGCTTTTATCACCCTCAGACACAACCTGCAAAGCACATTAGCTCCCATGTCCAGAATTACCCATCGGGTGAGGTAGTGCCCACCGCAGTGTCTATGATCTCCACCCTTCCCTTCCCCTTAGTCTCCGACGCAACCAGGTCCGCGATGCTCTTGTACTTTCCTGGCTCAACAAACGCAGTGCATTCCCAATTACCGCCTTCATAGCCTTCGTCTTCGACCTTCTCAATAAACTCCATAGCCCTCTCCTTGACCCTCTTTGGCGCAACAACTCTCAACCTCATCCTCGCCCTTGCGATGGCAATAGGTTGGTGGTACACCAAGGCCTTAATGGCCTCCAAAGCTTGGGCCTTAGAACTCTTCTTATCCGTGACGCCGCTCCACTTTGGCACATCCTCCTCACCTTCCTCCCTCTTCTTGGCGGACAGCTCTGCAAGAGCTTTCTCAATCATGGTAGGAGTGTAGACGCGTTTAGAAACCGGGTCAACGCATTTGGACGCCACAATTGAGATCACTTCGGTGTGTGTTTGCTCGAGCTTTGCGTTGCGCTCTTTCTCACCGACCTGAAGTTCGCCTTTTTGGAGTATTTCTAGGATTATGGACTCGGTAGTGGATTTTGGCCCGAAGGATTTTTGGAGGTCGGCATGAGGTGCTACCGCGCCCTTGGAGACGTTGGTGAAGACTTGCTGGATTTGGAGGACTTCATCCAGATCGGTCTCACTAAGCCCCGTTAGCTGAGGGACCCGGCGAGACGAAAGCGGGACAATACACTCCGGAACGGTATTCCATGACTTTGTTCTTGTAACATGCTAGCTCATAGCGCTTCTTGCCTGGCGCATTATTTGTAAACATGCGTGCTCCTTTGTCTAGACGGCAGGAATGTACCTTTCTTCAGCCTAACGATCGCGACGTTGGTAAGTTTAATCTGGTTTGAAGGCTTTGCGAGCTTGTTAGCTCTTGAAGTCTAAATCATAGGCTCAATACATACCTGGTTAATAGGCATGGTGGGTAAATACCGAGGCAGGTAATGGTGTTGGTGCAAGAGGAAGGAGCAAAGAATATGATAGGAATGAAAATAAAATAAAAAGGGTGGGGCATCGTGGGGTGAAGGCTCTGTCTGCGTCAGAATGCCAAGACTTAACTCGGAACGATAGAAATCAGGCCTTCCGTGCATCAGAATTCCTATGGTAGATCTTCAAGAAGCATACCGGTATTTCCGACGTGGCGCCGCTTGGCCTTAGGGGCCTGAGAATGTTTTACTCGAGCACGGTATGATATTAAGTTAATTGTCGGCCCCATGGATTGCTACAAGTGGCCCGAGTGGCTATTACTTTATTCAAAGTTGCATACCCGTACTCATATCATACAGTGTGGGCGATGGTTTCATAGATCGACACGGCACAGCACTGAATAGAAGCATTTCAGAAGCGGGATCGGGAGGAAATAATGAATAACTTTGTACAGAAATAGAAAGACCCCTAAACCACAGTCATTTGAAACCTCATTCCCGAACATGAGAAAGTTTACGAAAACCGTTTTATTTTATTTTGATTCCCTGCACATTGCCACTACCATCGGTATAGAGAGTTGACGAAGAGTAGTAATGCTGCATCCCATCCCAAACGAAAAAGATCCCCAAAGAAGGAAAATACTTTAACCCTTCTTCTTCGACACACCGACAGTTCGCCCACGACGACCTAAATAAATAATGCGTCAGTATCAAAAATAATAGGTAGCTCTCTTTTTGTAATAGAAACCCTACCAGTAGTCTTGGAGTGCTGTCCTCTAACACGGAGACCCCAATAATGTCTGAGACCTCTGTGAGCACGGATCTTCTTGAGTCTCTCCAAATCCTCACGTAGCTTGTTGTCGAGGGAGTTGGCAAGAATCTGCGAGTCCTTTCCGTCGACAATATCACGTCGGCGATTGAGAAACCAGGTGGGGATCTTATACTGGGTAGGATTTTGGATGATAGTGACGATACGTTCAAGCTCTTCGGTAGTAAGTTCGCCGGCGCTGAACACATATGTGTTAGTAATGTCAAATGTAGAATTGCGATAGCAGATCTTGAAGTGTAGCATACCGCTTGTTCAGGTCGACATCGGCCTTCTTGCAGACCAAGTTGGAATAGCGCCTTCCAACACCCTTGATCTTGGTCAAGGCATACATGACCTTCTGTTTACCGTCGACATTGGTGTTGAGGAGACGCAACTGAAGACAGCAACACATCAGTGCAATGAACCCAATGTATTTATTTATCAGCCATAGGCTGTATTTTGATCCGATATCTCCCGCCAGTTGCCATTCCTACTCTCCGTAATACCACAATTCCCGCCTTTCAATCATTCTGCCATCACAGGAAGGCCCGGACAGGAGCCAGCAGAGAGCGGTCACCCAGCCTCCAGAAAAAAAACAAGCGAAGAGGCAACCTACAATGAACTGGAAGTTCGATTTCTCACCACTGACGAGAGACCTAGAACCGGAAAAACCTAATCAGCACCCTGCTCCATATCGTAACCGTAACAATAGCCATGAACTCCGGCAGTAGGGGGCCAAAATCAGATATTCGGATATGGAATTTTGCCCCCACTGCATGGACTACTCCCCCCCCCTTCGGGAGTTCCGGGGCAAAAAATCGTATTTCCGTCGAGGCCAACTTACATGGTGGGTGGTCGATATGAGGATTCCCTGGGATCGATAAGTGTCGGTCGCCGCTGGTGGGAAATTTGGTGGAAGGTTGTTGTCGTTATTGATTGCCGTAGCTTGCTACCAAACAGCACCAGTTTCGCGATAGGGAGGGTTTGTGGGCGTAGCTGTGTTGAAATTGGGAGTGGGACTGCTTAGGTGAAAAATAAGGGTTGTGCCCTAATTGTTGTAAGAGATCCGCTGTCCCCCCAGGTGGGTTCGTGACCGGGGACCTCAACCCTAAGCCACCACTCATTTGCTCGAGTATGATGGCATGAAATAACATCATGGGCCTGCGCTTTCACCCCAAATATCTTTACAAGATTAGTGTGCTCGAAATATATGCCGCGCAGTAAGGCGTTAAATTCCGCAGTGGTTCTCGAGGTGCATAGCTAAATTCCACCCGTTACCGGAAATCCGCACGAGATGTGCGACTTTTTCTCACGGCGCCTCACTCGAGAGCTCTGAGCCCATGCACTGTACCGTACTGGCACTACCGTATTACTCAAGTATACCGTAGTGAATTGTATAGTCCCACGTGTACCGGTAGAGCGCTTACCCTCAATATCGGAGTGGCATAGCCCTCGAGTAAGGAGTTTCTGCAAGTGTTACCTTACCGTATGGATTTGTGCCACCACATTACTCAGTAATCCACTTCTGATACAGGCTTCACCCGTAAAAGTGCTACATCCGTAACTCTGGTGATTAGCAAGGGTAAGCACCGTTTCATAGACTTCGAGAGAACCAATGCGGCGCCTACTGATAAGCCTCCCCTACCATCCAAGTGCGAATACGGCACCGGTACTGGTACTCTTAAGGTTTCGCTTGCCCGTCCTTGTGGCCATTCCGCTATCACACCAGTACATTCCAGTTACTCTCCTGAGCCCCGGGAAACGGGACTTTGTTCTCTGCCTCAAGCATAAAATTTGTCGTTACAGACCCATTGCCTGAGTAGGCGTAGGAACCCAGGCTCAGCGAGCTTCGCCACGGGTCGGATATTTACGCATCTATAAGATCGTGTAGGACCCGGGAAACGGGAAGGACACGAGGAAAACGCTACAGGAGCACAGATACCATGAAGCTGAAGACCTCATCTACTGCATTCGAGAAACCGATTCGGCACCAGTCTCTCGATGAACTGTACAGGGAATTAGATGCCATACACTGGGGATGGAAACTCGTTGCCTCATGTGCGAATTGGATGATGCTTGCTGGGTTTGTCCCCCCCCCCTCAATTCAATCACGGGCTATTCTTCGGACTGATTGTGCAAAGATTTGTGGTGCTTCCCTCAGCGTTTGATGATGACGATTCGAAGTTCAGGATTGATTCCAATGTATTGAGGATATCTGCAGTGGCATTGCTATTGACCGGGTACCTAGTTACTGGGATTCTATGCTATACCTTCAAGAACCTATTGTTCCAGGTAGAGGCCATATTTATGTGCGCTACCCCCGAAACTAGGATTTATGGGTCACTAACTATTTCATCAGACCAGGACTTACGGGGTCGGCGTTGGGAATGCTTAGTACGCTATTCAATGTCTATGGCAAGAAATACGAACCAGGGGAAAAGAGGTGGAGTGGAACAGCTATATCAGCGGTCGTTCTGAGTGCAGTGTTCATCCTGTAAGTGCCCACCGTATTTCATATCGAGGATTACCTGCTGATAAATCCAAGATTCTACGGAGCGGCCGCATTGACAGGACAGAGAAGGATCGACCTGATTCGCCAACGAGATTTGAATGTTTCCGTCCTCCGAGAGGAACTGGAGAACCCTGACCTGATACCAGAGGAAGAGCACATGAGGCGTCAATTATTGACCCTACTTATGGCCCCATCTCAGAACCCTGGAAAACTTTTAGTTCCGAATACCGGGTTCGACTCGAGTGCTGAAACTAGCCGGAGTGCAAGCGTGGATCGGAGCCGGGGGCCCAGTAGAGACTACAACAGTGATCATAGCAGAGGCCACAGTGGAAATCCAAGCTATGAGATCCGGCCCAGCCCGACACCCAGACCAAGTCATGATATGGGCATCAGGAGGGAAAGTGCGATAGGAGATGGGGGTGGTCTAGGTTTGCCATCATCACTAAGGCTGGAACAAGAGTTCAGAAGATCAGGAGTCGTCATGAAGGCTACACTGGGCCACGACGAAGAAATCAGTGGCGACTACTGTCCCGAGCATTACGGATTATAGAAGGAGTTGCTATGGAGCACCAGTATTACCAGATCTTGTAATTTTATGCGCTCACCACCGGTGAGCTGTGGGCACCGCGAGTACCGGTATTATGGTACGGAGTTTGGAGTTAGGCCAGTTTCTTTGGGGGCCATAATTTTTTGTACAGTGTACTTATTGCCATCATTTTCCTTTCACCTCCATCTAGACATCGCTCGTGTATTTTAGTAGAGCGCCCGCGTGGCCAAGGTAATTTTCAGGGGGTTATTGTTTGAAGTCCTTTTTCATCCCATCGTTGCAGATACCGTACCACAGTCCCCGCCCACCTAACGGCATGCCTATACGGCACCGTATTGTATCATACCCTAGACCGGATATACCCATTGCCCCTGATATATGATACCGGTACGGGTACGATACCCGCAGGAGCACCGTACTCGTGTCATTATATGTCACTCGAAGACCCAGCCACCACCGCAAGTACGAGTACCGTACCGTGCAGTACCATTCCCCGGACCAAAGCTTCCCTGACGGACGGCCCCCCCGCGGAACAATGACACAGCAGCAGCAGCAAAAACCCAGCCAGCGGCTGGGGGAGGTCTCTGAAAAGCTACTATGCCGATCCTGCATACCTAACTTACCTGACTCGTGCTTCTCCAATCTGCAGAGCTTACTCCACGAAAGCGCTTCGGGTGGAATTCGAAGGCAATTCTTAGTAACTTCTCATTTAATTTTAATTTTAATTTTTTTCTCCGCCACGGGAATCTAATGAGGCTTGTACAATACTACTTACCGGTGATGTCGTAACTTACCGTATGATAATATACCGCCACTGGTACAGTACAGTAAGCTGAAGGAAGGGTTTACCGACCGTGGGTGAATCTTTTTCTGTACGATAGTCTACCGGTCCGGTACTGTAGCAATGCGCCCCCGTGCGAACCCCTCGGATACCACTGACCGGGTAGAATTGTGGCACCGGTACGGTACTGTGTTTGAGAAGGTCTTTATGCATTGCAACTTTTGGCGATAGGTGAAAAGAATTCTCGAGGGGATACTGGAGGAGTGGCAGTTATTTCTAGGTACCGTAATCCCTTGTCTTTTTTTTTTTTCCCCCTCCTCCACCTGTAGTTTGAAGGGCTCATCACGTGTGTAAGCTCTTAAGGGTATCATATTCTGAGCGCTTTGGTACCGGTATGGTAGAAAGACTCGGAATGCAAGTGCTCTTAAAGCATTACTCTATACGATACCCAAAATAGTTTCCTTTCCCCGGGGGCGAGGGGAACTGGAAATTTACTTGTATGCTTTCAGTTATTTTGTGAAATTTCCAAATTTTCCTACCGCTGATCCTCTGCGAGGGTCTGGCTGTTCGTTCGCCAGGAGATTGTGAAACCTTTTGCGGACAACGTACCAGTGTACCCGTAACTTGGTGCGTCGCGGCCTAGGATAGCACATATTATTGGTATGATAAGTTATATGCAAGAGGGTTTGCACAAAAAAAATGCAGGGTATTGAAGAAGTTTTCTCACCACTATGTACAAGTACACCCAAGCGCTCGTATGCAACGTTGAGTCCCCGTGTCACAGCCGAAGTTGACATGGTTTGCATCAATGGCGATCTGATGAGTTCCTTTTGTCTCCAGGTTAATCACTCTTCACATTTTCTCAAGAAGGGGAGAGTCCCTGAGAATCTGTGGGGCAGAAGGGAGGGAGACACCCGGGGTTCTGCTGAGCCACCGCACCGTACGGTACGGTAATTTCGAGCGCCAAATTAGGTGGGCCTCTCGCGTTTCTCCCCCAATCAGGTCTCTTGGCCTCGTGTTAGAAGTCTCGTGTTACGGTGTTAACGAGTGACGGATGGTGGAGACACAACTGTACCTGGTAGAGTGGGAGGGGAGAAATCATGAGGCTCTGATGTTGCCATGATAAAACCGCCAATTTTTCTTCACACAACTTCTCTAAAGGGTAGTTCCGGACTGGAAGATTCGTAGTGTTGCACATCTGAAACCGATCAGCTCGTTCGAAAAGGCATAACCGATGCAGTGGAGTGGGAATAGCGGGGTTGCGGGCTGACACCGCCCCGATAGGTTATATTTAGAGCTTCGTGCAGTACTTGTACGAGCACAGTATGGTGCGAGCATGAGAGTCCTGGTCAGAGCCAAGGCTAAGGCTGAAACCCTGGGAGAGGAGGGGCATTCTCAGCCGGAGGTGGTATCATATGGAGGCTAATTGTGATGCCGCGGTAAACAGTTGGAATAAGGGAATGAGGAAAGAGAACTTAGAGTTAGTGGTGGTGGCAAGCTGTGTGCCGGTGGAACGGGGATCGTGCCCGAAAAGGCGATTGGCAATCTCGCCTTGAACTTTTTTACAAGGAGTAAAAGATACATATCATACTGTGCTGGACTGAATTGCGTTGGGGTAAGATGTCGCGTTTGAGGGCAGTGGAAATTTATTGAGGGCAGAGCACTCGAGTGCCGTAGATGGATGGGAGGGGGGGGGGAAGGTTGGGATTATTTGCATTGGATGACTGCGGACTGGGGATGCGGTAGATGTTATATTACTTTGAATGCGCTGCAGAGAAGCTTGTTGGATTGAGCACAGCAGCCTACCTGGTACATATAGTGGGAATGAGTGGGCATCCAGGCATCGGGGGCGAGCAAAACACGACAGCCCGAACCCAGCACGCAGGCCAGAGCCACAGCCCTCAGAACGGTAAGATGTATTATACCTGTATGATATGATTGAAAGGGAGGTAAGGAGGTAGGGAGCAGAGCTGGCGCGCAATTCTCGCTTTTGGTAGGAGTGAAGGTTCCTTGAACCATTTTTCTTCATCCTCTGCCGCACTCCCGTCCGTTCATATACACGCCCTCGCCCGCTCACCTATTTTCTTCTTCCATCCCGAACCTAAACCTCCCCTCCGAAGCATCTCGTGTAGTTTGATCGAGACCCAGTCTCTTTCTGACACGTACAGTACCGGGTGCATAGACTCCTGGGAAATTCCCAGCACGCACCGCTTGTGCATCCTTTCTGTTCTATCCCCCTCCTTTCACATTATCCACTGGCCCCCCCCCACCTTCATCTCGCCCTAGTTCAGTTACGTTCGGTGCTATACGTCGAATAATCTTAGAGTAGCATACAGCACGGCACGGGCACTGCCCTTTCTTTGGCTTGATCCATTGTCTGGTTGCTCTATTGTTTGCTCGCTCCCCGTGCGCTGCCTGTTCAGCGACCCGTTTACTGCTGCCCCTCTATCCGTGGAGCCCGCCTGACCAGAGGAATCCCGCCACACTCTATCCGTGTGTTTTTCCTGGCCCCTCACCGTTTCCTGCCTCCCCTTCGTGCCCACATCACGCTCTTCACCCGCCGAGTCACTTCGCTGGCCTCCAGCCATTATGCCCACCTTACCATCTTTCCTCTCTAAGCACAATCGCACTTCTGCTACTCCCACTCCTCCTCCCCCTTCCTCTACTTCTCCTCGCCCTACCATCTCCGGACCTCTCCCGCAGGGCTATCCTTCTTCGAGCCGGCTCTCAAGCCACGGAGGTGCCACCGTCCAGCTTGTCCCTTCGGATAGTAGATCTGCGGCTGAACAGCAAGAAGCCAACAACAATCCCTCCTCTTCTTCCTCGCTGTCCTCTTATAATCCTTCCTCCCGAAAGCCTCTTGAAAGTAGCAACACCGGTGGTAACAGTAATAATTCCGGAGGCTCTAATCAAGGAAGTCGCTTGCCCGCCGGTACCAACTCCTTTTCCTCCGGTGCTTCTTCGTCTTACTACGACCGAGACCGTCAAATCCAACCCCCTGCCCCTCCTCTCTCCCCGCAACCAGACGCTTACAGCAACAACACAGGTCTCGCCCGACGACTATCCCGTCACAAGCACCAGTCTACCCCACCATCCTTTCCGCAGCAGCAGCAACAAACTGAATCTGATCATTTAGATCCTTATCTGCAACCATCACCCCATTCCCCCGGGCCACCCCCTCACTCTCCGGGCAGACCCCAGTCTATGTTAGCCCCCCCGCAGGAGGGTGAAGGAGAACATTACTCCGTTAAGCGTGCAGACACCGACCCATCTCAACAGCAGTACTCTCAACATACCCTCCCGCAGCGTCAGGATAGCTTTCACAATCCCGCTAATCTTCAAATCCAACTTCAGCAACAGCAGCCACAGGGTAATCACACAATGGCCAATCAGGCTCATAACCAACCTCGCCGGTCTACGGAACAGTCTAGCCAAGTTGGGCCGCCTCGTGAAGGATCCACGTTATCTCAAATGAATGTTTACGTTTCAAGTGGAAGGGGGGGTAATCTCGGCCAGCAAGAGTATCAAATTCAAGCCGGGGGCGGTACCGGGGGTAATCAGCCCCCGGCTTATGATCCGGCTAAGTACGACGGGCAGCCGATGGGGAGGATGACGCCTGAGAATAGAGCCGAGTCACGATCCGGATCAGCTCCAGAAGCTATCAATGTCCCGCAGTTAATGCAGGATCATGAGACTTTGAGTAGGTTCACCTCCATCACATGCAACTGGGAAGCTCCCAGCGACTTGGCCTTGCCATGTGAGATCGGTTGTGAAAATTGGGCTTTCTGACGGTTTGGTGAGCGGATATGCTGATTGGGGAATTTGTGTATAGCCGCCAAATACCGCAAGGTTAAAAGTCTGTATTTCGAGAGCAAGTCTGAAGTCGAGCGTCTGCAGAACACTCTCGCACATCAACGTATTTCCCAGTCCCGTACCTCCCTTGACGACAACGAATACGCCAATCGGTTTGATCGCCTTGATGGTGCGATCAAGAATGTGGCCTTCGAGATTCGGCAGTCTTGGAAGACAATTCCCCCCTGGCTCGGAGGTGTCATCAATTCCGGCGCAGAAGTTAAGGGAGGTCGGGAAATGACGGTTGTCGGTAGAGCTTGTATTTCTAGATGGGTTGTCGATGAAATTCTGGAGAAATTCTTTCATCCCGCATTGGATGTTAATCTAAGTGCCCATCTTAAGACGATTGAGCATGGCATTAGAAAGAATGCGCCACCACCGCAGTCAGTCGAGGATGATGATGCCCTTAGCGCTAAAGTATGCAATTGGAGACTTACGACACTTGACGGGCTACGAGATAGCATACATGGCCCCCACGCGATGGAGTACCGACAGCGTTTGTCGGAACATCTTGTGAAGCAACTAGTTGATAGCTTGCAGATGCATCTTCACGACCCTTCTCCCCCTGGGCTATTGGGAGGCATCCAGATGATTGTCGACATCGCCGTGGGTCTTGGCGCCAATCTTCCTCTGGAGTCTAGAGATGTGAGGGTATGGTACCCTCATCCGGGTGAAAGGTTCGATAGCAAATTTATGAGGGGGGAGGTTGGATTACCGCCCCTTGTAGCCACCAGAGGACCAGAGGGGGAGGGAGAAAAGCTGCAATTGGATACAAACCAGCAAAGCCACCTCATGGAGGGTAGTGAGACATCGCCCCTACCGCCCCCGGCACCAGCCAAAGACGACAAGCCTCTGCCCGCGGGCAAAGCTGGTATCGGGGCGTTGCCACCTCCATCAGGGGCAATGCAGAATAAAGAAGGTGCCGGAAAGAAGCTTGCGGGCTTCAATAGAGTCAAGAAAGCACTCCAAGGATCCGCTCATCAACTTGCGAACCCGAACCTTTCTTCCCCCTCGATTGGGCAACAAGGCCAGCAGGGTCAACAGCAGAACGGCAATTCTGGAAGCCAGGCATCGCTCACCCAACAGCAGCAACCGCAGCCCGCCCAAGACCCCTCTGCGCCCAAAGACGGTGATAGGATCCGACTGGCTGGTTTCATGGCCTGTGAGGTCCGTGGGAAGCTTATCCTTGTTAAGGCACCAGTCTGGCTTTGATTTGGTTCATGGTATTCTTTTCTTCTTCTTTCTCCCCTCGTCGGGAGAAGGGAGGGTTATTGGCTTAATGTGCTGTGAGCGTGTTGAGGTTTTTATTCCTTTGGCTTCGTGATTTTGTTTCTTCTCGTTTATTTCACTTATTTTTTTGTCCATACCTCTCGCTTTGGGTGAAGCGAAATATCGTGATGAGTTTGACGAAGGGTGGGTCGGATTGCATGCTTATGTTTATTCATCAGTGCGAGGATGGGATACTCGGGATTGGGGGCTTTTCTTTCTTTCCATCTCCTCAAATTCCACCTCCTTGCGAGTGCAAAAGTGACATAGATGCGTTTGGGTTATAGGATTGGTAATGTATCGCTGGTAGGATGGTGTGGCTTCTATGGGCTCGCGGTGAAAATGGGAGACCGGAGTGCACGGGACTCGGTATTTCTTTCCGCCCGCTAGCATATAAATCACATATACCGACTCAGATACTCTACCGTGTGGCGCTATGTTCCGAAAGCGCATACAGTATCATATCATGCTAGTGACTCCGCTTTTTGGGCCCGGCTTAGCCTTGCCTAAACCCCAGCCCTCGCTTCATTGCATGCAAAAATTGCACATTCATTCCTGAGCTCAGCGGAGGATCATTATGTGTCACTCGATTTGTTACTATCGGTCGCGGTTCGCTCCTTCACCGATGGTGGGGCTCAGAGTGCTGACCTCTGCGTAGTTAAGTTAGGTTGTGGTGGTACGGAGGTTATCGAGCGTGGTTGGGCCAGGCAGCGCTTTCTTGGGTTGAGGGCTTGAGGCTGTGATGGCTTAGCTACCGCACGACAGGGATAGTATGATACCGGTAGACGAAAGGGGATCAGTCTGCATGAGCTATTGAGTCGCAAACAATGGAAGTGGTGCTATCATACTACGGGTAGATCTTACGGTTCCATTAGAGCGAGTAGAATTTGCGCAGCAGGCAATCTAAATCTGTAGCGAGTGATAATATATGATATGATGGAGAGGCATATCAAGCTCTCCCCCTAGAGCGTTTGGGCGAAGTGAGTTGCCCGTGTGTGGCGCAATCGAAGGTATTATGATAACTGGCAGAATATGCTGAGCCAGTCACTTTCAACAGCAGTTCCGCAGACAGCCTATGGCAGCTTAGAATCTAATCTCGGAAGATACAGAAGCATGCAGATATGCAGCCAACCAACCAGCGAACCAAGCCAAGACATTTACCATGAGTTGTTCCCCTCTCTGCTAGAGCAAACCCCCATCAAATACCCCATCAATACCCGTCTGCCGTCCGATGCAGGCACTGGGTGTACCGCTGCAGTATTTAGCTACAAGATACCTCTACAAGTACCGGGATTGGCAGCCTAATTTTTTGTCAATCCGCCTCGGGGATTTGCCTTACCCACTCGACCGCGATTGTGATACAGTGCTTTGCTGAGCTGTTTGGCTCCCCGCAATTTGTTTCTTTCCTATCGAGGACGCTTTATCGCCTCATTCATTCCACTTTCCAACCCTCCTCTTTCTCCCCCTTTCTTTATCATCACCATCGACGAAAATATCGCCAAAATTTCCACCGCCGAGGCACGAGAGAGGCATCCACGATGTCGCATAAAACCCTCTACTGGCCAGAGCCTTTCTTCTATGCCATTGGGAATACAGTTGCATCATGTTTGACACAAGATCTTCCGCCGGAGGAGCCGGCGAGGGTCTTATCGTTGGGGTGTGGGGACCCGAGGAGTATTTTATTTTCGGTTCAGTGTGCTAAAAGTGGGGTCGTCCGTCGTCTTCTGCCTGTATTTCCGTCATGGAGTTTGGAGGCTTACAGTGATGACGATTGGTAGTGGACTTTGATTACGATTTCACTTGCTGTGATATTGAACCGGGAATTCTAGGTGAGGGTTCCTCTTGAGTGCTTGGTGGGGATGGGTTTTGATTGGGCCATGTCCAGCACGAAATGTTGTACTGTTGGCATTGATCTTCGAGGGGAATAAATCGGAGGCGAGGAGCGAGAAGTTGTGGAATATATTTTACCACATAAAACTGGATCGGGAATCGCTTTCTGCTCTCTTGGATCAGTGCGAGAAGTTGGTGAAGGTCTCGGCGGATATCAACAGCTGGAATAACAGCCGCTATGCATCATTCATGCGAATGTGCGACAAACGGACTCTCTCCAAGCTCCGTGCGCAGTGGCGGACCTACATAAAAAATGCAAAGCTAGCGGGTCGCGAGAGGAAGGAGTACGACGAGAAATTCACCAAAGCATTGAATGGTACTCTTCTGAAAGTTCCTAAGCACGACATATCATCCACTCTCGCTTCCGGCCCACTCACAATGGAGGCTGTGGAGAGCACCCAATCTCTCCTGCGCCATTATTGGACGAAGGGGACCTACTCCATGGACCCGAAGGTTATCGCTACTACCACAGTTCCGAACCCGACGCTTTCTCATTCCTTCTCGGGAAAGGTTTTGGCGTTGCATTATGGTTCCGACCCACTTCTGGGCATCCACATCGGCCCGGCTTTTTGTGGCCTCAAGTCTGCGCCCAAAGTGTACAAGAAGAAGGTTGAGCCTAGTCATGTTGTGAAGGTGGCGAGACGGGAGTTCTTTGAATGGGTGAAGTCCTTTAAAGATGCGCTCACAAATAAGAAAAATAAGTTGACGATACGGTTTTTCAATGGGGATGCCATGTCCTTTTGCAAGGCCTTGAACTACTGTCGAGTTCAAAAGTCGATAGACACGGGGTATTACGCAGCACCATGGACGACTTCTCCTTTACGCCTTGACGGCGGTGACTATAATGAGGGCTCGGAGAACATGGCTCCAGTGATGTTTAATGCTATCGACACCTCCAATCTCACTGACCATCTCGGGCTCATGAATCTCCTTCTCATGACCACACCACTTCTTATAAGATCGCCATTGTCATGTGTATACAGCGAAACAAAGTTCCGCCCCGGAAACACTCCAATCGACGCGCTATCCGACCGGATATGTGGTGATATTCCAGCGGTTTCGCTACTCTTCGATTTAGTGCCGGTGTCGTATCTGATGCACGTCAACAGTCGTTCAAGCACTCATGCGGTCCTTCTAACCCTCGTGGGAGACCCCAAGGACGCCGGTGACGGCACTTTTCAGGAGAGAATAACCTGGAAGTTGGCCTCCCTTAGTGATCCACTAGCGGTTAAGGTCGATGGTATACAAACGAAGATTTTGGAGTATGAATCTGCCCAACTGGCTCGTTTCATCTTCGGGATATATCAAAAAATGTTTAAGCCGGACGAGCATATGAGGGATATCGACCTAATACATTATACCCGCGGGACGTTGGTTCTTCTACTAAAGCTCGTGAAGGACCGCGTCAAGACGGATTGGGACGATTTTATGAAGCGGTTTAATGAGATGGTTGTGGGTGATACGAACTTATCGCTGGGGAAAAGCAATTACCAGGAGTTGGCTGCTCAGCTGCATGTTATGGGGCTCCACACTTTTGATTTCCTTGACAATTACAGACAAGTGTACCCTGATGCCCAATCAAACGTGGGAGTATTTAAAGATTGGAAGGACGTTCCTCCAGTGGTCTGCATTGTCCTGACCGTGTCCCGAGGCGCCATCAGGCCACTTATCGAGACCGGAGGGGGCGCCGGCAATCCATTCTTGCACTGCGAAACATGGAATAGAGGTGGCCAAAACTACTATAGCTGCTTCCATCCAGTGTTTGGAAAAGCTAGGAGAGAGGGGGATAGAGTTGTCATTGACGAGGCACCTGACGGATGGTACGGGACTTCTCCACTCGTTGTGTCTTTCTGGGTCCCATCATGGACCCTGATAACACACCCAAACGACACGATAGTTGCCTTTGGAGCTGTTCCTATGATGCCTAGGACTACAGGAGCTTTAGCACTCCTGCTAAAGCTGGGACAAATGATGCGTCTAAGCGAGACAAATCTCATTTCAAAAAATGTGATTGTAACGAGGACACGACCATACCTTTCCTCGGAAATGGACAAAGTTCGAGCCTTGTCTTTCCAAAGGGAAACATTTGTTCCGTCACCACTCAGATCCGTCGAGATAAGTCCTGTCCGGATCAAGCTTGATGAATCCTGCCAGAAGATCGCCAGCCTTATGATCCGAGGAGACCTCCTAGTGAAGATTGCGAAGGACAAGCTATCTAGTGGCGCAGAGGTCACAGTAATTCAGTCATCGCCTTGCACTCTCCAAGTCCAGTTCGGTGGACTCAGGCAAACGATGGCATTCCCATTCCCTGTCGATGTTGCTCAGGCGAAGACGAAAATTGCAAGGACATCATCTTATATCGAAGTAAGCATCATCGTTATCAATTATAACACGTTCCTTCTAACCCTACCCTCCTTTTTTTTTTACAAAAAAACAACAGGTCTCAGTCCCTGCCTGCTACCCCCTCACCCCAGGCGGCTTCTCTCACAAGAAATTCCCAGTAAGCCTCACAAATGGCCGCCCCGCAAACTGGAACATCCACTACCTGAGCCTAGACATTCTCCCACAACTTGACCTTCGAAGCCCTCCCGCCCTCTTCTGGATCACAAACCACCTGAGCATGATGTTCTCTGACAGGGAGTCCATAATCCGCCAAAAAGCCGTACACGCAGGTGAGGACTGGGTTGTAGACATTAAGGAATCCATCGAGCATCTCCTCGGCCAATATGCTGGTGTCTACGGTACCTCGCGACAAATGATTCTCGGTTTGAAATCCCCCGTTGGAAAAGTCCTCCTATTAATCTTCCCAACGGACCTTCGCCTTGACCTTGGCTCTCACACCCTCGTCATGGATGCATGCATTCTCCCTGTTACCCCAGCTAGCGAACTAGCGGTCGAAGTCGCCTTCAGGAATATGTCCCACTCGGGTATCTCCGCTATGGCCACCTCCACAGCTGAAGTGACAGCCTGGTGCGATCTCCTCCCAGCGTTCGTTGAGCGCTGCAGAAACTGGGAGCACAAGGACAACTGTACCTTCAAAAGGGGGGGAATACCACTTACCCAGGACTTTCACCGCTCGCCGTTGTGCAGCTGTGCCCCTGGAAACCCCTCAGTAGACTTTCTGGGGAAGCGGGAGTGGAGGGGACTAGCCCCTTATGTTACCAGAGCAGCGATCTCCCCGATTCAGCCTGTGTCGTATCTGGAGCCGGTGGGGTACGAAAGGATTAAGGCACTGAAGGGGATGTACGCTGAGATCACACAGGAGGAGGAGGCGGAGAAAGAGAGGAGGGCAAAGGAAGAAGAGGAGGAGAAGGAAAGGCAGGAGAAGGAAATGGCGGGGAAGTGCAGAGTCTGTATGAAGACAGAGAATTTGATGAGGTGTGGGAGGTGCAAGAAGGTGGAGTACTGCTCGGGCGTATGCCAGAAGGCGGATTGGAAAGAACATAAAGTTGGGTGTAAAGTTGATTGATGGGCTGGTTGGTTAGTTAGGGATATCATCCATGGCAAGGAAATTGTTATTCGCTTGACAATTTGGGAATAAGGAGTATGGTTGTGCAGTAGTGTTGGGCAAATCATTCTTTGCACTAAAAATTGAATTGACAAATATCATGCTATACCGTACTAATTAAACGTTTCTAGAATCGACTTGAGCCCTGGAATGGCAGGACAAAGTTAACCCACGGAACAACCCACGTATACTTGACTGCCACAGGTTACATACATAATAGTCTCATCCCGTCATTACCCACCTTACTCAGCACACTCCCTAGTGCTAGGTGGTTATACAGGTAGTTCAGTAAGAGGAGTGAAGCAAAAACACACCAATATTGGCAGGGTCCTTCTCAAATCCAGCAAAACTCGACGGGTTTCATTGAAAAAATTACAAAGAATATCGAAAGATAGGCCACCCTATCTAGGGCCTCTCGGATATATATTTATATCCCCAGACTCCTCCACCCAACCGGGATACCGGTAGAGCAGCAATCAACCCCTTCCTTCCTTCCTTCCTTCCCTCCCGGATACCAAATCATGCCCGCAACACAAGACTTTTGACACGATACAGAGGGGATACGTTCCATCGCACCGTGTGGTATTACTCGACCGAGCCGGCCACTTTACCACCACGAGGTGGGGAGAGGGGGGATATATCCCGACAATAAATGGGGGTCCCTACAATAAATGGAAGGAAAGTTAGATATGCCGAGTGATAATCTATGAAGATGAAGAATGTTGTTCCGAAGCAAGCAGAAAGCAATATCGTATGTCTAGACATCCGATGGGTTAGGAAGGAAGGAAGGAAGGAAGGAAGGAAAGAAACATGGCTGCTATACTGTACGAGTATTATTATATAAACAAGATTTTCTTCTTCCCCGTCATTCGTTCGTTTCGTCACCTACCTTCCAATGTTCCTCCAAGAACCTTTTTTTTTTTTTTTTTTTAAAAAAAAGTTGGATATCGCTAACCTCCCTCCTTATCCAAACGGGTTCCTATTCTCCATGGATATATTCTCCTCCGATCACTTACTTTTTTTTTTTTTCGTTGCACGCTCCACGGATCATTGCCCTGCTTACTGGCTTGCAGAAGTGAATCTGGTGCTCTTCCGGCTAGCGCTGAATCACTGACTGTCGTAATCGTCGTGAGTGGCGTGTGGGGTGATGATTGCCAAGTAATAATAATGATAATAATAATAATAATAATCGCACTTTGCTATTATTTCCAAAGCGGTTTTGAAGGTCGTGTTAATGGAATTAGTGGTCACTCGAACACCCCCCCCCCCCGCCACACACACACATATTATACACACATACATTTTTGGTATGTGTTGGTTTGTGTGTCTCCCTATCATACATACATACTAGCTGTCCCCTCGACCTACGCTCGACCTGGGTATCACTGATTTTTAACTATAGCTGTGGTATCATTACAGATAACTCAAAGCTGAATTAATATAGGTGGAAGATAGTAGTCTTTCTGGAACCTCCACATAACCTATATATCAGGTGTAGTAATATGATTTGAGATTGCCTCCTTTAAATTACAAAGAACTTGATAGAGATATGAAAAATATTTCCAAAATCTGGACAATACAGCAGTTAAGGCATGAGTTCTAGCCTCTAGTTAGTACATAAATCTACATATAATCTCAGCTACTATTCACTTTCACAGGATTTTTGAATTCTGCTAGCTGGTATAATTAGAAATCTTATTATACCTCCAGAGCACTGGCACCGCAGCGCCGTGGGGGTAACAATGTGCCTAAGGACTCTAAAACAAAGATTCTAACCACAGCTATCCCTCAAAAGCAAGGACCCATTCGCGCCAGCGGTCCTAGTATTATACACTCTATACGGAAGGAATCCTCTGAGGTTGGTATGGTGCCTCGCCTCGTTCAATATCTTAGGACGGGTTCTCGTTGAGTTATGCTAACGCACTTTCGTAGTGTAGTTGGTTAGCACACCAGATGAGCATTCGAAAAATATATCGACTTCTCTGCTAAACCAAACTTATCAAATCTTGGTAGCGGGCTGAGCGACATTGGATCCCAATCCAATTTATATCCTACGGTGTAGGCACTAGCCTTCAATGAAATTAACTAAGTAATCAACATGGATTTGTGATAAAGGCATTTCTTATTTCCTCGTTTGGTGCTTTGTAGTAACCATTTGCCATCAAAACCCGCCTTCTCTAGTTACTCGCGTTTACAAGCCTACAGTGGTCCCCCCCCCCCCTCCTAAACAAAAAGTCGGGTATGAATGGTTCTGACAGTGAACAATACAAAACCTGCTTGATATCTACGGGGGAACCCAAGCTTCTACTCGTGCCAAGGTTGTGGCTAGCTAGCTACAACCTTGGCACGAGTACTAGGATTTGTTTGAGAATTTTATCATTCAAGACACTGCTCAGGGTTGGGGCCATGTGGCTTTTAGCCCTTAGGGCGAGATGTGGCGAGGATGCAATTCCTGTCCGATCATAGCCTCTTGGGCCCTCTCCGGTCCACATTGGGTGGTTTGTAAAAGGGCATACCGTGCACTGTAGTGGTCATATTCACCCGGAACACAGTCTGTTAGGACTGATCTGTTCTTGCTGGAAATCGTAAGAGATCACTCATGCTATTGCCGCTGGGCCAACCAGGATACAATTGCCCGAAGGGGGCTATGATTGGGGATACTGTCTTGTAGTAATTAGGAAAAAGAACTCAATTGTTGCTGGGTAGCCTTGTGGCAAGCTGTCTCGAGATGTTCCTTCCCCACAGTCCCACAGGGCGTACTATTCACTGAACCGCATCATTTATGGTATCTGGCCTCCCATGGTAGGTAAGGTTTTGACATAGTTGTTCACAATTACCTTGAGGATCTTTGCGCTATTGGACACTACTTTCCTTCCATGTAAACACTCTATGTAGTTTATCTATCGTTTGGTGGGTGTGGGGGAAAGGAAAGAAGAAGCGGTACAAGAGGGAGACGACATTGGGGGGACTTTGTGGCTGGGGGAAATTAATTATGATAGTATGAAAACTTCAAGTTAGAAACAGGACCTTCTCACAACGATAGAACTATTGCTACCAATGGACTAAACACTCCCGTTTAGTCCGTTGTAAAGAGAAACCCATATCTCCTCACTTGACTGTAAAATCAAGTCGCTAAGGAGGTCAGGGAGGATATGATAACAGATATGTGCATTCCTGTCCCTGAAGTTTCCTTTGACTACAACGGAGGGCGCTCAATGACAACCTTTGTGAGTAGCATATTCCGGAAGTGAAGAGACAGTGATAAGTTCCACAAGGTGATCTCTCCTAGGCCTCAAATGGTACTGGGTATTACCGGTTGCTAGACTGTAGTAGCGCTACCACCCTGGTAAAGCTATCCCTGGTAGCGTGTGAGAGCGGCGTTCGGCCGTCATTATCCAACCTGTAAGAGTTGACTTCTTCCCTCCCAAGTACTATTTCCAGCACTTCCTCATATCCATCCGTAGTGGCATAGGAGAGTGGTGATTTGCAGCCATTATCTGCCTTGTCAGTACTGACCTCTTCCTACCCAAGTAGTATTTTCACCCCTCCTTCATGTCTACTCCTAGCCACGAGGGAGAGTGGTGTTCTACCATAATTGTCTGCCTTATCAGGACTGACGTCTCCCCGCCCGGGTAGTATTTTCACCACTCCCTCACGCCGAAACCAAGCAGCATACAAGAGCGGTGCTCTGCCATCAATATCAGACTTGTCGAGGTTGACCTCCTCCCACCCGAGTAGTATTTTCACCACTCCCTCATGTCTACCCATAGCAGCATACGAGAGCTGGGTTTGGCTGATATCGCCTTGCTTGTTGGGGTTGATCCCATCTCCTCTGAGTAGTATTTTCACCGCTCCTCCATGCCCAGCCTGAGAGCCAAGCGAGAGGGATGTTTGGCCTTAATTGTCTAGCCTATCAGAGTTGATTTCTTCTGGCCGGAGTGGGAGTTTCACCATCTCATCATTCCCATTATGAGTAGCCCATGCAAGTAGTATACAACCAAAAAAATCCCCTTTGTTGATATCATACATTCCACCCCTGCCCGGTGTAGTCCATTGAATGGGGAGCAGATACTACAATCCCTAAGATAAAAATGCTTGATTTGTCCTAAAAACAATTTTGTACATATGTGGCCATCGTACTCCTGAACCCTCTCCAGCACAAGTAATCGCGAGCAGTCCGGAAGTTCCCTTTTCGCATAAACTCACCAGTATACAGAACCAGATTCCATAAAAGGCCTATTTCAAGTGTTGGGGATGGGATCGGTCGAGAGGGTACTGACTAATTGGAAATTTGGAAAGGTGAAGCGGATTTCTACAATTGTTGAATGAGGTCTCCTGAAGATATGGGGATGAACGGAAAGATACTCTGGTAGATTAAAGTAGATTAGTCGCATTATTGATATCTCCTTATCCGCAGGAATAAGCCATTGCCAACAGTTCAACAATGTCAACATCGAAGGGATATTTCTAGGATGGAAATCTTTAGAACCTAGCGCCACGACTAGGGAATCGCAGAGCCCATCTACTTGGAATGGCCTTCTCGCGTGACTGACCCACAACAAAGCTGCCATTCCAGGTCTCGATTTGGCTCATCCTGGGCCTTTATAATCTCTATCATTGCATCATAAGCATCCCTCGAGTCCAATCCGTCTGTCATTTTGCTAAGCCTTCCTCCTCTTCGATTGGTTGTCAATTCCTGTGAGATTGCATCAAAGTTTAAAGAAACTAGTAGGCACCTAGATATATTAATTAGCGGGTAATGTGCGGAGAGGCTCTTCCCCTGCTCCTACATACACTTCCGATATATTTTCCAGAATCTTCTCCAAAATATCTGACTCCAGGCTCTCTTCCATGGCATCTGGTGTTCGTCGTCTCCTAGTCTAGCAGGTAGGTATCTAATAATATCACCTTTGCTGGGACCTACAGATACACTAATCAATTGTTCAGAGAGGCGCTCTTTAATCTCGGCCTAGATCTGAGGCCCCCGGTCACAAATATTCGAGCGCTCGGGGACTTGTCGAGGATTTTGTTTTAGCGAATCTAGGATCTTGTTCCAGCACACATTCGTCTAGCGCATTCACACATAAATATCTGTTGCGAGGCCGTG